CAGGCATGTGCTACCACACCCAGCTGATTTTTTGATTTATTGTAGAGATGAGGTCTCGCTGTCCAGGCGAGTCTCGAACCCGTGGGCTCAGGCAATCCACTCACCTCAGCCTCCCAAAGGCGCGGGATTACAGGCTGAGCCACCGAGCCCGGCTTCAAATAATCTTTTTTGAGTCAGGGTCTCACTCTGTTGCCCAGATTGGAGTACAGTGGCATGATCATAGCTCACCACAGCCTCAACCCTCTGGGCTCAGGTGATCCTTCTGCCTTAGCCTCCCAAGTGACTGGGACTACAGGCACATTCCCCCACGCCTGGCTAATCTTTTTTTATTTTTTGTAGAGACAAGGTCTTGCTTGTTGTCTAGGCTGGGCTCGAACTCCTGGTCTCAAGTAAGCCTCCTGCCTCAGCCGCACTCAAGTAATCTTTCTCTTGATCTCAGTTGTAGTAGGATCTCTTTCTCTCCCCTCTCCCGCTCCTCTTCTCCCTCTTCCTCTTACCCCCCTTTCCCTTCCCTTCCTTCTTTCTCTTTCTTTCTTCAGGGTCTCACTCTGTCACCCAGGCTAGAGCGCAGTGGCAAGTTTCTGGCTCACTACAGCCTTGACTTCCTGGGCTCAGGAAATCCTTGCACCTCATTCTCCCAAGTAGCTGGGACTGTAGGCGTGTCCCACCATGCCTGGCTAATTTTTGTATTTTTGTAAGGAAGAGGTCTCAACTATGTTGCCCAGGCTCTGGAACTCCTGGGCCTAAGCAGTTCGTGCCCTGGCCTTCCAAAGTGTTGGGATTATGGGTGTGAACCACTGTGCCCAACCTGGATTTTTTTTTTAAATAATACTTATACATTTTAGTTAGTGCTCCAAATCATTTATGCAACTACCTTAGTGAAAATATTTTATTTCACTGGTACTTAGATGAAGGTCCAGTAAATGTAAAATAGAGTTCTATGTGAATTGAGATCTAGAATTTTGTATGAATTTATTTAATTCCCAAATCCACTTTTTCTTCATTGCTTCTTGGTGTGAAGATTTCAACTCTATGTGCTATACTTTCCTTTTTAGCATGATACTAGTAGTCCTTTGCTAATCAGTGGAACCTCTGCAACTGAGCTCCCATGGGCTGTAAAAGTAAGTAAATTTTGTAACTGTTCTTTCCTTACTCCTGCTTTGCTTCCTACCCACATACATCCTCCTCTCCCCCCAAATATATTGCATTAGACTTTCATATTATATTTAAGGACAGTCGGGGAAATACTAGTATTAGAAATCTTTGAGGAATTTTTCAGCTTTGTCAGTCATTTTGTGACAATTAGTTTTGATCTAATCTCATTTCTGTCATAAAGAATAAATGATGATGTCATAATCCTGTATTAACTGAAATCTTTGATAAAAAGATAATTTACCCCACAGGTATTATTTATTATTTAAAAATTCTGGTTAGGTATTCTCCTTATGGCTCTAAAACAATTCTTTATGGCATCTTTTTCAGAAATGGGTATTTTGCATTATAGTTTTTTAGAGGCAAACTGATTTTATCATACCAGATCTTGACAACTAATGATTTAAAATCATTATTGGAATATAGCAGATAGAATGAGCTTTGGTAAATGTGCACAGTTTTTTTTTTTTTTTTAAAGCCATTTCGATTTGTATGTCTCTGTATGCTGTGGGCTATTAACTAATTTTTAAAAGTATAGGAATCTGGCCTTGACTATGCAGATAATGGTTTTTCATGCCATACAAGTAGTTTAAACATTTTAGAAAATATTTTATTGACAAAAAAAAGAAATCTTGCTTTGGGGAGAATCTTGCTATTTATTCTTACCCCCAATTAAAAAAAAATTTTATTTAAATTTAAATAAAACTTAAATTTGAAATGTACCTAATATCTTAAAAAAGTCAGAGACAAGGAGTATCTAACCTTTTGACTTTCCTGGGCTGCATCGTATAAAGAGGAATTGTCTTGGGCCACACATAAATTATATAATATAGTTAGTGTGTATATACATGATAAGACTTCTTTTTTAAAATATATTTTTATTATAAAGTTTAGAAAAATGAGAACAATATAAAGCTAGTGGGAAATTTAACCTTGTTTTTATAAAACTAATCTATCAGTGTCTGGTTTGATGGAAGTGGTCGCAATTCTTAGTGAATTCTCAAGGGAAGCTCATCAGAAATGTTTGCTCAAATTTTGCTCTTCGTGTGCTTCATAATTGAAAACAACTGCTCACAAATGTATGTACTGCCAGAAAGTGATGTCATGAATAAGGCTTGATTATCAAGTGAGGGAGATTTTTCTCTAGGAAGATAGGTCCTATGGTAGTTCAATAGGGAGACGAGGTCAAATTTTTCTTTCAGTTGGATGTCTGTAACTCTGCATTCCATTTGAAAATTTGCAGGTAAAATCTTAATATCAACTAAAAGTGGTGTAGCAAATATAGAAAATAATGATTTTTTTTTGCTGGAAATCTTGAAATCTGTTTTCACATTGTGTTAACACAGAAAGCAAAGCTACATGTTTTTGGCAGTTCGCAGTACTGCGTTTAGCCATTGTAACAAAATGTGTTAAATTATTTTCCATAATTTGAGCGTGCCATAATTTCATTTCAAGCACAGTATCACTTTGGAACTTCAAAAATCGAATTATGCATGTAGTCACAAAGAAAAGAAGCCCTAAAAAACACATGATGTTAAAAACATTTTGTGGAGCTACAGAACTAGCCCGTGGGCTGTGGGTTGGACATACTTGTCATAGACTATCACTAACTAGCTGTGTCTTCTTATAAAATTATAGTTACTTTCTTGCTCTGGTCTGTGTAGGTGAAAGGGTTGGACTAGATCCTCTTCACAGGCCTTCTACCTCTGAAATCTTCTGATTCTAACGTAACAGCAGAAAAACAAAGATAGTGTTCCAGCTACAAAAGGAATAAGGAATAATGGGCTCTTGAGTAAAGACACTTTGAAATTATTTACTTGCAGATCTTTCCAGTGAATACTATATTTTGATGAAAGTGAAAAATTTTTAAATGATAGTTAAAAAAAATACTGGGTGTGTTCTTTGAGGACTTGAGTTTTATAACTATAGTTAAATCTTTTTCACCATTATTTAACTTGTGTGTGTGTGTGTGTGTTTTTGTATTGTAGTCTGAAGATAAGACCAAATATGATGCAATTTTTGATAGTTTAAATCCAGTAGATGGATTTCTGTCTGGTGATAAAGTGAAACCAGTGTTGCTCAATTCTAAGTTGCCTGTGGATATCCTTGGAAGAGTAAGATATTATTAAATTCTAAATATAATTTTTATGTATTTTAATTTTATATTTACTAGAAGCACTTACAATTCATTGTTGAAAAATACATAGCTTTATTTTAAAGTTGTATTAGTATAGGCTTTTTTATGATCTAACTTAATATATAAAATTATGGTCAACCTATTTTTGTAGTTGGATATTCCCTATAACCAAGTAAAATATGAGTGGTTGCAAGTAGTTATATATGTAAGCCCCTTAAGTAGATCCTTTTTTTCTTTATGCGGTACACTCTGAACTCCCTATTGCTTGAGTTAATTTCTGGAGATCATCCGTATTTTACGTGTGCCACCTACTATATCATGGTGTTTTGTAAGGGATACGCTTATCTTTGAAGTCATTCATTCTACTTTGTAACTTGTACTTCCTATCTTTTTAGATCTCTTTCCTATATACTTCTAAGACTTTAATCTTTGACTTTACAAAGACCTTTAAATCTCAGGCTTCTTGACTTTACTTTTCTTTTTAAAAAACTTAAAAATTGTAACAGATACACATACCATGAAACTTAACCATCTTAACCGATTTTTAAGTGTAACTCAGTGGTATGAAGTACGTTTACATTGTAATGCAACTATCACTACCATCCATCTCATAACTCTCTTCATGTTGTAAAACTAAAACTCTGTTCCTTTTTTTGGTCTACAGTTCTGTGTTCTTATCCTTAGCTTCCTTTGCCATGTTATTCTTTCATGTCTCCTGCCTGATGAAAATCCAAATTTTTTATTTTTATTTTTGAAAATCTAACTTTTTAAATTTTAATTTTTCTTTCTTTTTTAAAAATATAGATGGGTCTTGCTATGTTATCTAGGCTGGTTTCGAACTCCTGGGCTCAAGCAGTCCTCCCATCTTGGCCTCCCAAAGTGCTGAAATTACAGCTGTGAACCACTGTGCCCAGCGTGAAAATCAAACTTTGCATGAAGCTAATTTTCTGCCTTCTCTGTTGTTGCATACAGACTATTGAGAAAGTCTAATAAGATTGGTGTAATTGTAAATTCATAAATACCAACTTCATCTAGGCTTCTGCCTACTTTCTGCCACTCTTGTGCTGTTTCTATAGTGATTTCTCTCTACCCTTCTTCATATTTCAAACCCTATCTATATCTACTGCCTTTAAATCTCTTGCCCTTTCTGTGATTTCCCACTTAAGCAGATAACATAGGGTCAAATCCTGATTGTACTATCTAGCTATGTGATGTTGGGCAAGTCATTAGGAAACCATGTCTCAGTTTTCTAATCTTTAAAATGGGCATAATTCCCAGTTTATAAAATCATAGGGATTAAATATGATGATGTATGTAAAGTACTTAGTGCAGTGCTTGTTACTTATTCTTTGAATGCTAGCTGCCATGATGATGATGTTGACAACCACCACATCACCAATACTAGTACTGCTGTTACTAGATCAATGTTACATAGATTTTAGGTGCCAGTAAATATTGACTTAAAAACCTTTTTTTTTTTTTTTTTTTTTTTTGAGAAAGCTGGATTTATTAAGAGGACAGAAAAGCTCTCACAGTGGGAGGGGATGGGGGGGGGTTTGCCCCAAAGCCATTTTTTAGTATTTCCCACTAATTATTTCTCCACTGTGTGGTCAATATGAGATTTCTAAACTATATATATATATATTTTTTTTTTTTTTTTCTTTTTCACTTAAAACTAAACTTTTTGTAGATTTCCATTGCATTTATGATGAAGTTCAAACTCCTTTCAAGGCATTTAATGACTAGACACTTGCTTATCTCTACTCTTAATTCTCATCAGTACTCTTTCTTTTCCTGTCCCTAAAAGAAATGAAAGAACATTAATCTTTATCAATTCTTCTCTGTTTAAGGTTTGGGAGTTGAGTGATATTGACCATGATGGAATGCTTGACAGAGATGAGTTTGCAGTTGTAAGTAACATGATGCTCTTAAAGTTTTATACATCTTGTTTCTTTTCATGTGAAAATTTCGTCTTTTCGTTCATCCTTAGAGAAAAACAATTTCCATTACATTTTTGGTATGAACATTCTTACCTAGACTTTGTCAGGCAGTCAGGAAATATTTTCTAAATAAATGAATAACAGAAAATGTGTGTTTTGCCCTCTTCATTTTATTGGACTTTAAGGTAAATGGTAATATATACTTTGAATAATGTACTGTAAAGATGCTGAATGATAGTATCTTTTATATTACAACTTGACCAGATATCTCAGTACCTGCTTCTGCTATGGAGTAATTTTGCTTCAAGCATATCCCAATTTTCACTATTTTTTTTAATTTTTTTTAATAATTAATCAGTATTTTTATTATAGTTTTGAATATTTTTATTTACTTTTTTTTTTTTTTTTTTTTTTTTTTTTTGAGTTCTGTCGCCCATACTGGAGGGCAGCGGCCGCTCCCGGCCACCGCAGCCTCGACCTGCTGGGCTCCGGCGATCCTTCCGCCTCAGCCTTCCGAGTAGCCGGAATTACAGGCGCGCGCTACCCCGCCGGCTGATTGTTTGATTTATTGTAGAGATGAGGTCTCGCCTGCCCAGGCGGGTCTCGAACCCGCGGGTTCAGGCAATTCACTCACCTCAGCCTCCCAAAGGCGCGGGATTACAGGCTGAGCCACCGAGCCCGGCTTTCAATTTTCACTTTTATTCCATTAATAATGAAACATGAATAGCGCTTCAATTTTATTCTCTTTATGAGGGCAGAAAAGTTTTAACATCCTATCTGAAGATATATTATCTTAGTAATTGGATAGTTAATTCCAAATAAAATTGTATTCATCTATCCCTTAAAGATTAGAGAATACTCTGCTGTTAATTCATTAATGGCCCTTTTACTCTCTTATTTGGAAATTAGTCTGTTCAAATTTTTCATCCCTTTTTATTTTGCTAAGGAATTGTACATTTCTTTTACATTAAAACTTGCCACTACAAATTTGCATTGTGTATTGTTCTCTTGTGGTTATATTTTTTCTCATTCCAAATTTTGGGTGTTTTTGCTTCCTTGTGTTTTTTGTTTAATCTGATTTTGTGTAATTTATTAATCTGTTACAAGAACCATCTTTTGGGTTTATTTATTCTTCCTATTTGGTCTGTTTTATTTCATCTTTTTCAGCTTTTATCTCTTCCTAGTATTTTATTGTGTATTCTTTTTATTTTTAAATTTCTGGAAGATGAGTACTAAATTTCTTTAATATTGAAATCACTTTTATAAAGGTTATATTTCCCTGAATACAGGTTTAGCTGGATTTTCTAGATATTGGAAATTGTTCTTCTTTTACAACCTTTTAGATAAATTTTGGTTTTCTTTTATCATCTGGTTAAGGAATATGTTTCCTAGTTCCCAAAGAATTAAGTTTGTTTGGTTTTTACTTCCATATATGCTTTTACTTTGATTGGATTATAACTAGAAAGGTGTGCTCTGTAAAATCTCTACTTTAAAAATTTGTTAAGGCTAGCTTTGTTGACAAGTTCATGACCTATTTTTCTTTTTGTTCCCTGGATATATCAGTATTTATTTTTGGAGAATATTAGGCTTCTGTGAAGCCATTATATCAGATTTTTATTTTATTTTATTTTATTTTTATTTTTTAATATTTTTTATTATGGTTTTGTGGGGTACAGTTAAGTGTTAGGTATATAATTACGTTTCATTCAGGCACTCTGTTGATAAGAGGTGTTTCCCCCTCCCCAGACAGATATTTGCTACTGTTAATCCCATCTCCCTACCCCCCATAGTTTCCCAGTACCGTCAGTCATTTTCTTATAGTTATATCAGATTTTTAAATTGTAGTTTCCTTTTGCCCTTGCTTTGGCTTTTTTTTTGTCCTTTCATATATTTTTCTGTTTGTTTCCCATGACAGCCAAATGAAATAGGCAGAATACATATTACTTTTTATCACATTTTAAAAATGCAGAGACAGAAATTTAAAGTGACTTGAATTCTGGTCACAGATACCTGGTCTTTGTCATTTTAATTTGGGGGATAGTTGAGAAATGGTGGGGGATACCCTCTCATGATGGTGACAAAAGTCATCCCAACTGTGTAAATAACCGTCTCATGATGGTGACAAAAGTCATCCTAGCTGTGTATCAGAAACTGAGTCTATGTTTGTGGTATGTTTCTGGGAAAGGGAATGTATTAAAGAGATTTGGGTGATGATGTGCTTTGAAATACCGTCATACTCTACACATACACTTTTCGTAAATTGCTTTTTCTTTAAGGATATTGGTGCAAAACCTTTTTATCAGTCAGTCAGCGTTTATGTTTGTGAAGGGATGGAAATTGTAAGTCAATCACATCACATACCTGTTCAAAAAAAGCAAAAGTATATATCTCTTTCAGGCAATAAACATGTAATTTTTACTTCCATGATAAGAAATCATTTTGTAAACAATTATATGTGAACACTTCTAGAACCTGTCAAGATTTATTCATAAAATTTAGCATTAGATTAAACTGATACCCAGATAACAGGATACAGAAGTTATCCACTGACTCAAATTCTCCACTCTAGTGCAAAATATTTATATAGGTATGATGTAATGAGGAATTTTTTTTTCTTATAAGAACAAAAATTTTATATTTCAAAGGAGCATTAGTTTTTGTCTAAGATAATGATGTAAATATTGATTTTATTTCTCCTTATCTATATCTTACATTATTTTCTCTGTTCCTTATTGTTACTGATTTTTAAGTTGTGATTCATTCATTACCTCTACTTGTGAATGTGGAAATTCTAGTATAATGTCCTGTTTCATTAATAGTTAAATACAGGTTGAGCATCTCTAATATGAAAACCTGAAATTTGAAGTGCTACAAAATCCGAAACTTTTTGAGTTCTGACATGACACACAATATCATGGCAAGATGCCATGTTGGCACAAGTGAAAAATTCCACACCTGACCTCCTGTGATGGGTTGCAGTCAAAACTTTGCTTAATTCACAAAATTATTAAAAATATTGTGTAAAATTACCTTTGGCTATGTGTATAAAGTGTATATGAAACAAATTAATTTGTGTTTAGACTTGGGTCCCATCCTCAATATATCTCATTATGTATGTACAAATATTCCAAAATCTGAAATCTGAAACACTTCTGGTCCCAGATACTAACTTTTCGGTAAAATTAAGACTTTTAGATTATTTTTACTTTTCTTTCCCCATCATTTCCTAAGCCCAGAAGATTTTAGAACTTTTTGTAACTCAAATTCTAGATTTTGCTTAATTTAGTTTTTTTGGTTCTAGAATTTTTCTTGCAGTTTTGCTCAATATTAATAATTGCACTAGTATTCTTTTGGTTAGAATTTGCCTGTTTCTTTCCTTTTACTTTAATGAATGGGGCAATGTAATCTGTACTATTTTAAATTTTAATTTTTTTAGTTTCAATAGCTTTAGAGGGCTGCAAGTGGCTTTTGGTTACCTAGTTGAATTCTAGAGTGGTGAAGTCTGGACTTTTGGTGTACTGATCACTAGAATGGTGTACATTGTATCCAGTAGGTAACTTTTCATCCCATACTCACCTCTCATTCCCCCCCATGAATCTCCAATGTCCATTATACCACTGTCTATGCCTTAGTATACCCATAGCTTAGCTCCCACTTATAAGTGAGAGCATGCAGTGTTTGGCTTTTTGTTCCTGAGTTAATGTCACTTAGGATAGTGGCCTCTAGTTCATCCAATTTGCTGCATAATACATTATTTTGTTCTATTTCATGGCTAAATAGTATTCCATGACATACATAGGCCACATTTTCTTTATCTACTCATCAGTTGATGGGCAGTTAGGTTGATTCTATATCTTTGCAGTTATGAATGGTGCTGTGATAAACATATGAGTACAGGTGTCTTTTTTTTTTTTTTTTGTATAATGACTTCTTTTCCTTTGCTTAGATATCCAGTAGTGAGATTGCTCAATTGAATGGTAGACTGCTTTTAATTCTTTGAGAAATTTTCATACTGTTTTTCATATAGGTTGTACTAAGTTACTTTTCTATTGACAGTTGTAAGCATTCCCTTTTTACTGCATCCATGTTAACATTTGCTGTTTATTGACTTTTAATAATGACCTAATGGTCATTCTCAATGGGGTAAGGTGTTATCTCATTGTGGTTTTAATTTGCATTTCCCTGGTAATTGTACACTATTTAAAAAAATTATAATTACTTCAACATTGCCAATATAACTGTACTTGTGAGTCATTGATTTGCCTTTATTTATAAGCATCATTATTCTTAAAAACTAAGTTTTAAGAGTTAGTCTTACTCTTCCTTGAAAATCGAAGGAATTTTTAGAATACTTTTGCAATAGTGGAATAACTAAGAATTGAACATTTTAAATTATCTTCTTAAATAATGATATGCAATGTACTTATTAATATGACCATTCTTTTCAACTATGATAGTTTATATTCTGTCAGGATATTGGTTTGTTGAAATATAATGTAGGTTTTTTTCCCACCAAAATGTCTTATTTTACTAATTAGTCAAAACTGAATTTTGATTAAGAATCTTTTTGTTCAAGACTTACCTTTAAAATTCTTGCTTGTTTTGTCTCGGATAAAATGCTTTTGGTTTGTTGACCCACTATCTGCTCTGTGTTTATTTTTCAAATTAGAACAAATAAAAATGAAGTTAATGAGAGATTCTAACTTAGTGAGTTGAATTACAATATCAGTTTTTAAAAAATAATAATTTATTTCACTAATAAACTAAAACTTGATTGAACATGAATCTTTGTTATAGATTTCCCTTTAAAATTCTTAACCAGTTTCTTTTCTTTTATAGCATAAATGGGATTTGCGGTTGGTTTATTTTTTTTTAATTGGAATAAATAAAGTTAGAGAGTCTAACTTGTATAACTTCTGTTGCCATGTGAACCTTTAATGAATGGCCCTTTTTTCTTTTCAAATGTAAAT